GTTTACATCTGTGTGCTAGGTCAGGGAATTATTTCTTGCTTTCACTCATTTACCTTTTCATCACTGAATACTGCTTGTGATGCTTATAGGAAACAGGGAATTTGGGGAATATTAAGTTGCTTATCTCAGAGCTGGCTTCACCTTGAGCATTTCAGCTGCCAAGAACACAAGATCCTACCTTAAAATAGTATGCTAATTGTGACAATGATCTGATACAGGTTAATTGGGTGCTTTTCTGCTATATTGAGTGGAGAAAGAAATTGTGTGACACATCAACCAGTATTCTCTGACAGTTTCTGAACCTATTTGGATATAGAAGTTACTTTTCACTTCTGTGCCACACTGGAGCAAGGGCTTTGCTCCTGTCATCTCCTATGCCTGAAATGGAATAAAGACTTCCTAGTGAAAAGTGTCTGCTGAATTTGGGCTTTTGCAGAGGTTCAGCAAGTGGTACAAAAGCAGAGCAGGCATGCCTGGTTTTGGCAAAGCTGTCCAGACACATGTGGTCTGTACATAACCTCACACTTGTTTCAGTGTTTCACTTTAACCTGCCACCATATGTGTCTCAGAACCCTGAACATTTTGTATTATTTTCCCAGATTCCTTCACTGCAGAGACTTCTGGTAAATGGGATAGGAGGGAGAGGGCAGTTTGCCAGATGTCTAAAGAAATTTTGTGGGTTTTCTCTGTGGTTTGTGGGTTTGTTTTTTTTCTTCCCCCATAGTTCATAATTATGTATGAAAATTTTTCCAAATATATGCTTTGGGGCAATTGATGTTAAAACGTTTAGGAAAAGGTAACAGTGTATATTTTCCTCAAACTATTGTTTTTCATTCTTAGATTGTGTTACAGCATCCACAATGCCCCCTCAAACAGAACAACTCATCTTCTTTTGAGACTGATTGTGGCTCATTTTAGTTCACCCTTCTAAGGAAATGCATCCTGTTAAAAATACAAATGGATTATAGGTGTCCCACTCAGCAGGGACCCTGCAAGTAGCATTTCTCTTGTAAAAAATATCTTAGCTTGAAGATTAAAAAAGTTAGGAGGCAACAAGAAGAGAATTGGAGTGATATGTAAAAAAGAATATATGATGAAAAACAATCTTCTTTTAGCTACAATAGTGTCTTTTTCCCCTTGAAATGTGTTCATAGTCTACACTACATTATTGTGCAATACAGTACATTAAACCTCTTCTTTCTTCTGATTTTTTTTTTTTTAATTTGAGAACGAAACCAGCATTTGGTGATGAAATTTCCTTGTGTATGTATTTAGACTTTGGCCTTCTGCATATCGACCAATAAACTGCTACTTGCTCAATTGAGACAGGCAAAACAGATATTCCAGCCTTTGTCTTTATGTTGTAATAGAGTTTCTGTTTGATCATTTGGGTTTGGGTGAAAATGCCAGTTTAGAAAGGAGAACCTTATTTATCAGCCTCCTTCCTGCCAAAATACAGTATCAGGTCCAATATCAAAACCCCAACAGGATGAATGCAGAAAACTGCAATGTGTATTCAAGTGATTATTCCCCAAATGCTCATTCATCTTTCAGAATTTTGAAACAAATACCTGTAAATGTGTTTAACTTAGTGCAGTTTGTATTATTTTTTTCTCTAAAAGTCTCCAAAACAGTGGTCTACTGATTCAGAAAAACTTCATGGCTTTCTGTTGCTGCATCATTACAGTGTTTTTGTCACAACTGAACAACTTAAAACCAGGTATTTAAAGCTTAAGTTTGTTTGCAGAACTATTATTCTGGCCTGCTACAACCTGCATGTTTTGTTTAGGAAAGTATTTCTTTAGTTTAAAACTCTTTGAAAAGTGTTTGTCAATTTGAAACAAAAGTGCAAACTCAAACTGTAGAAATGTGAAGAAATTTCGGCAGAAGGGCCTTGCCCTTTTTAGGGTTGTATACTTCTCAGCCTGGTTTTCTGCTAAACAGTTCTGGGCAAAGCTATTTTTAAAAAGTCCCTGGACTGACTACTGCCATTTGTTCAGAATACAAATGATTGTGGTTTACCTGGGGTTCTGTCTTTGGAGACCTTTTTGTCTCAGAGATACAAACAAATCTCTCCTCCTTTCCATTCCAGTTTCTCTCCTTTGATCAGCATTTTAAAAATTCATTGTGTATCCAGTAAGGCAGAACAACAGAGGTCAAGATTCTCTTCCCTGGATGTTCCTGATCTTAAAGTGAAACCTCAATTTTGCTGAGAGTACTGGAATGCTAACACTCTTGAGCATAGGCATTATTTTCCTTTTTAAATTTCCAAAGGGAACCTACAAGCTGAAAATAATAAATGTTTTCTTAAGAGTTAATTCGAAAGGCAGAAAATGAAGGATGCAGCATGAGCTTTTTCGTGCTGCATGCATTTTTTTTGGAAACCTGTTTAAGTTTCTGTCTAACTTAACTGTTTTATAGTTTGTCATCTGCAAATTTTCTTGAGAGAAGCAAACAAGTTTCTTACTGCCTCTATTTTTTTGGGATTCATAGTGATAATAATTTTTTTTTCATGCGAGGTGGCCTCTAGCACTCAGTTTATTGACTTCCTTGTACCTATACTCAGAAATTACCTGTTCATAAACCAGTTTATCAAAGCATAGATAAAGGCATTACTAATTTTCTAGTGCATTTCCCATATAGTTCCTGCCTTTTTGGTCTATACTTCAACTAACTAATGATTTTAATGTGCTTAAAAAATGGTAAAAATTACTTCAGAATGTCAAGGAAAATAATAAACTGCCCCTTGGAAATAGTATAGATACCAATTTACATTTTTATCACTGAAACCATAAAATATGTGCATTTATCTATTAGATTTTCATACCTTCTGTCTCATTTTAATTTTCAAGGCTATCTGAAAATCTTTAATGCCTGCCTGCTGAGATATAAAAATATTGTTATAACTTGATGGCATAAGTTAACAGTGCACCAGGGATAGATGGACATGCAGCAGTGCTGGCTCAAGGAAAGTGGTTTTTAACACCAGAAATTATGGTTTTGCAGTCAGGTTATTTGGCCTGCCTGTTCTAGAGTGCACAAACTACAGGGGTTGAAACCTGTAACTAAACTCTGCTTAAATCCATGGAAGGAGGAGTGGATACTTAACCTAGGGAAGGGAACTGGAAAATTAATTTAAAAGAAATTAACTGAAAAAGTGCCATAGAATAGAGTTTTTTATGGAAACTTGTAGTTGATCATGATTTCTTCTTTTCCCAAGTGTCTCTCACACTGAAGCTGCCACTAATGTGAGCAGAAGGCTGGACTAAGTGAACTGCAGAGCCCCCAACCCAACTAAATTATTACTGTGACTCTAAGAATAGCAGCTATTAGTTAATTCAGCTTTAGGGTGTTTAGGGCTTTTTTTTCTGTGTATTGTGGACAGTAAATGTTCTACAATTTAGGTGTTTATGGTTCATATTAAAAAAAAAAAAGGAGGAGGAACTGCAAAATTCTTTTTTTGTTTATTGGTTTTAAAGCAAAATTGTTTGTACTAATAAGTATTTCTAAATTTTGTTTCTCCGGGGCTGCCTTATTATTCATATTTTCCTTTAAACTAAATACAAGTTATGTTTTTTTCAGTGGAATTTGTAGACACCACTTCTGAAGGCCTTAAATTTTAATTTTTGATGCGTAACACCACATCCCTTGCTGTGCCGCCCAACTCAGCACAGATATTTCTATTCAGACTTTCTAAAAAAAGACATTTTCATTGGTTGTTCCTCAGCTTTCCTCCACTGAGGATTTGGGGCCAATTGTGGAAGCCTTTGGCTGAGCAAAGCAAACAGTTTAGAATTGTTTTTGTTTGTCCAGTGGCTTTTTGCAGCTGTGACTGTGATGACTGCAGCCATCTTTTTGCTCTAATGATGTTTTTCTGTTGTGTGTTGAAGGTGCTTAAAAAAAATAAGGAAAAGAAGTGCAGTAATCTTAATGCAGGTTTTCAGTTTCAGCCCAATCTGGAAGTCAGAGTATGCCATGTGAGAAGAAACAGGCTGAGGAGCTAAGACAAAAAAGCTGTGTAGTTTTTGGATGGCTGGTAATTATTTTGTGCATGGTGTTGCTGTATCTCAGCTTGAGCAAACAAATCAGTAGGAAGAGGGTATGGAATAGAGTTAGAGCCATGTATCAAACATCCCACCTCTGGGGTTGAGTTTCTTTATGGGATGGCAGGAGAGTAATGCTGCATATATCTGCTAGACACAGTCTTTGTTTCCCATTTATGGATGTCAGCATATAAGCAACAAATTAGCTGGTCTGGAGGATAACTGTGGAGAGTGTAGTGCCAGTGCTGGGCATTCCTGACGTCTTTTCAAGATAAGATAGGCATATGATGCAGTAATGCTCAAGAGTTGGGCTTGCAGCAGATAATGAACTTTTTTCAGAGGGGTTATTTTCACATGACTACCTGTATATCCTCTGCTTCACACATCCCTCCTTGTACAGCATAAAATGGTAGGTGTTTCAGGAGCAGGGGAAATATGTACATGAGTGCCTACATCTTTCTCCTGCAAACAGGGATATTCCAGAGCTGGCTGCTTTTCACTAATCCCTTGTGTGAGCGCCTTTGCAGCTTAATCCCTTCACATACGCACACACGTATTTCGTATTTTCAGCTTTCGTGTGTTTTAAACTTCTTAGCCTCTTTATCTACAATAAAAAAACGGTTTTTTTTCTTTTTCCTTATACTTGCGTTCCTTTTTTTTAATGATGTCACAGTGGAAGCAGGAAAGCAATGTTCATTAGATGCTCAAAATACAATATATAACCAAGAGAAGCCGTCCATCTACTTAACTCCCCAGATTTAAGAATTACCAGAATTATTAAATCCTGTCGTGGTGTGATCACACATCCAGGGCTTCCTAGTACATTATCACCAAATACTGTGAGCTATTAGGGTCGTCTCCTACATGACACAGATTGCTCTATTTAAACAGGAAGGCAACACTCAGGGCAGCTCCCAGTACAGTTTCTGTGCACACGAGTGGGTGATGCTGTCTTACCTCCAGGTTTGATGTAGAAGCAGTTCAGCTGAGTTTCATGCACCAGCTTCCCCTTGTACTTGGCATCAGGTTCCCCCGACTGGTGGCTGGGCAGGGGGTGATACGCTTGCCGAACCAAGGCTTGAAACATTTTAAAATCCCAAGGAGCGTTGAAGCAGCTGAAGCTAAGTGTATTTTCTATAGATAGTAAAGGCACATTCCTCTTGGTTAATTTCCTTGCTTCGGGGTTATGTAATAGCCTTGTACAGAAGTTAAAACCTGAATATTGTTTTAAATTGCTGACAACTGGATCTTCTAATCTAGGAACTATTTTCTAGCTCTTTGAAACGTTTTCAACATCTTTTGCATTCTCCTTCCTTTTCTTGCTGTCCACTCCTAATCCTTTGCTTGTCCTCTGTGCCTTATGCTCAGTTGGAGCCTTCTCCTCCCCCTGTCCGTTTTTCAGGAAAACTTGGATTGAGGAGTGAAGATAATGGGCGCCATCCACCCGTCAGCTCATCACCTCAGCGAGCCATGACGATCTCTGGTTTCTGTATATCGACACGGGCTCCTCTGATAATGTCCTCTGGTGCTTGAAAAAAATAGGTTTGCCTAGCAGAGGGTGGACTGCACTCCTGACATAGCCAGAAAACTTCTTTTGGAATGTGAGCTTGCTTACTCACACTCTTTTATATGTGTGTGTATATATATAAAAATATTTGTAACCTTCTCTCAAAACATGGAAGATAAATATGTGAGCAAGTGTATCCCACGGCACATATACAAGCTGCTCACTTCTGTCTAACTTTGATTTAATACAAGCTCTTGAGTGCCTCATCAGTGCTCTCTTTGTCAAAACAAGCCTTAAATCGGCAGTAAAGAATACTTTTCAATTACAGGAGGGAAGAGGAAAGAAACCCTTCCCAAGTGTAAGATAGCATACCCTTTAAAGGACAAGGAATGTGTTATATACAGAAACACGGTGCAAGTGCTCCAGTGGAATTCCACTCAGGCTGCAAAGGCAGTGTTGCTTTTTTGTCTTAACTGGCATCCAAACCAGTAACAGCACTGGGCTTAATGCCTGCTGCCTGCTCTGCTTTAATGCTTGTGGCTGCAGCCCAGCTGTGGGGTTTGCAACAGAGCCTCCTTACATAAAATGTAAAGTCTTCCTATCATAATGCATTGCTTAAAATCAATCTCAGAAAACACCTCGGTGAGTTTTTCCTGCTGGCTTCATTATTTTGGACATACATATGCCTAGGACTTTTGGAGTCTGTTTTAATAATCCTTTTGCATAACAGATGTATTATTTACATGCATAAAACCAACCAGAGGGATTCTGTAGCCAGTGGGGAAAAAAAAGTAAGTAATGTAAGACACAAGCTTCAGGTCAGAAGTCAGTAATAAAGGGACTAAGAAGATTCTTTCTGTGAATCATGTGCTGCTGGCCATTGTCTTAGACAGGATATGAACTTTCTGTTTGAGTTGCATCAATTCTTTTCTCTCTGTCAAACAAACTGCCTTTCTGTAAAATTTCAATATCTTTTCCTAAACGACATACAGTGTTAAATCCTTTATATAGGTATATGTAGCATCTCTCAATTAACAAGTTCATGAAATTTCATAATAATTAGAAAAAGGAGAGAAATAATATTGGATTTTTTGTGTGTGTGAGTATGGTATGTCTTCCTGCAGGGATTTGCTGCCTTCTGTTTATTGTTGCCTGTTGTTTTTATTCTGGTTTCTCTCATGTGAATATTTCTCTCTCTAACACTCTTTAACAGAAAGCAAAGTAGATGTTCAAATTTGCACTGAGAGTTAAAAGCTGAAGGAGGGGAGAGACTGAGGAAGCAGATGATGACTACTGTTAACATTTTATTCCTGAAGGATTATGCATAAGCTAGTGAAACACTGCTGACTTCTGAAGCAAAATGAAATATGCAATTTTACTTTGTGTGGAAACAATTCAGTTGCCGCAGTGAAAATGGTCCAATGCAAAAATCTCGAATTTTTATTTAAATAGGGCTGTATCTCTAGTCTATAATCAGGGGTTCAGAGTTGCAGGGTTCCTCCCAGTGCTGCTCTTGTGAAATATCTAGCTGGTAATATAAAATGAATTTGATGAATGTGAGGGTTTTTTATTCTGTTGAATTACAAGTTGAATAAGAAACTGTTTACTACTTAAATTACATTTTCTTGGTGACCAACTTGATCTCTGGGGTGCATTGTTTCTCTTTTTGTACATATACACAGGATGTTCTGTATTCTTGCACACAGAAGGTCTTATTTGCAAGACTATAGAAAAGTAAGTAAACTTCTGAATAATCTGAACATTAACTTCAATTTCTTTAAAAAATTTAAAATATGTATAAATATATTAAAATAGAATTACAGTAATCAAAGGAAAAAAGCAACAAGATACTTCAAAGGGGTGCTATTTGTATCTTCATGAAAGAAATTACTAAATAGCGATTTCACAAGAAAAATGCAGGCAAAACATTTATATTAATTCTTTAATGATCCTTCAGCTTTCAAGCATGTAAAAATTCAGTGACCATATGTGAATGATATAGGGTTCAGAGTGAAATTTAACTTGTGAACACAGTGTGAACCTACCCACAACTGGAGTAAACCTATTACAGCTTGCCTGTCATTCTGTGAGAACAGTGAAAGTCCTTCCTGTGCCTGTGAAATCTTATTATATTGCTAAAAATTGTACTGCAAAGTTTCTGTCTGCAGCTCTACAGACAAGCAGATGTTACTGAAGGCAGTGTAACAGCTGAGTGCAAGAGAAGGAATGGCTCCAGAGGAGTAGAGAACTCTTTAATATGTGGAGTATAACCTGTTAACAGGCTGTGGCCAAGCAATAAAAGGGAATGCATAAGATTTGCTGTAAATATCAGGAGGAGCAGTTGACTTTTGCCCATTTCTATGTAGATTTCTAAAATTCTTTTTCTAAGCATTTTAGAATTAGAGATAGTGTAGGAAAAATGAAACAATTGCCTATCCAAAATGATGTTGTATATACAGTATAAAAATGGAAAAATATAAAAATGAGGGTTTTAATTTCTCTTGATCTTACGGTATTTCTTGTAACAAGAAACACATAAGAACAAGTATATACAAGTAACTCAGACTTTTGTTTTTGCAGGCTAAGAACTTAGTCCAGATCTGCAAATGTATTTCCATTACTTAGGATCTGAAGCTATGCAGTGGAGAAGTAAGAGATGAGATCACAACAGTCAGAATTAGAAACATCATCTATAGTTAAGGTTGCTTATTTTCCTCATGAAGCCCTTTCTGAAGCTGTTCATTGTTTTGTGGGAGTTAAACCATTCAGAGTGACAGCTCATCATACTGATTATAGTAAAAATTCAGGTTTCAGGAAAAAATTACATGCTATTGAGCACCTATTTGAGGTTAAAATAGTCTTCTCTTTTTCCCCCCCCTCTCTTCTAATGTACAGGAAAATGGCATTGTCAAAGTTGGGAAAATAATTTGACCTTGAACTTAACTGTAGCTGTGGAATTAGAGGTGTACCTTTGGAAGGTACCTCCGAGATGCACTTTAAAAATAATTGGGAACATATTCTTAGATTGGACTAAATTATAAATGAAAACCTGAATGTGAGAACCCTGGTGAGTCCTCCACCAGCTGTGAGTGTCACAGACAGCAGAGCAGCTTTTCCCCATGGGACTGGAAGCCCAGATACTCCACAAGAAACACACAGAAACTGCTGCTTTTCTTAACATGGTGGAAAGAAAAAGGCTGCAAATTGAGGCACTAAAGGTAGCTCTCCTTTCTATTCTTTCCAATAAAAGCAGGTTTTTTTGTTGTTTCCAGGTTGGAAAAGCTGTGTTGTCCTCTTCTTGACTGAGCAGAGTTTTTGCTTTTTGTTACTAGGTAGGAGTGAAGTGCACAGAATCGAGAAGAAGTTTATAGTTTAGCCTCTTCCACTTGTGACAGTCTTCTGTTAGTATAAGCCCTTCTGCTGGTGGAAGGGATGGATTTATATTTATTTTATATTTAACCTGGATTTGTGTAAGGCATTGTTGTGTTTTGCTCAGGTGATTTCTGTAGATCAGAGCTTCACTTCAGTGTGTTGAAGACATGTTTTATTGTTTGCTTTAGAAAGTTAGCAGACAATATAGAGCACAGGTAAGCTAAAAAAAATATAATGGTTTCAGGAGTTGCATTTGTTTTCCAGTAAGCCTTTCTCAGATGGATTTTTATTTCACAGGAACCCTGCTTGTGTTGACTGAGGATATTTGGGTGTAGTTTTTAGCTTATGGAGCTCTTGTCTGACAGGGACATTTTGGAAGTCTATTGTGAAATAGTAACAGGAACCATTTGTTATTTAAGAAGGCCTATTTATAAGAAAAAATATTCATTAAGAACAATTTCTTATTTAAGAAATTGATAGCCTGGCATGTCCAGCCTTCCTGTCTTAATTTCAGTGTCACGCACCATCATGATTTAAACATTTTTTGGAACTGATGATGCAATGGCAGGAGGTGTGACTGGAAAACCAGTGGTGTGGGGGGGAAAAAAATAAATCCTCTAAGCCAGATGGATCATAACATAGATGCTATTCCTGTGTCATGACTAAAAATTTCTTGTAGCATCAACAGAAGGCATATTTAAGGGAAATCTTGCAAATACAGTTTGCATTTGGGCTCTTTTCCAAAAAAAGTAAAGAACCTGCTGATGGACTCATATCTGCTGAGCTTCATGGAAATAAGTGTATCAATGGGCTTTACATTTGCAGTACTGACAGAACTTCAGCTTTGAGGCCATTTAGGGGCCTTCCAGTGACCTACAGTTACACAATTGATTTTTCTTCATAAAAATTTCTGATAAATTTGGATTAAAAATCTGCCTAGAGTCAGTCTTGCACAGTAGAGTCACAGACATAATTTATTAAACCATACACCATGTCTGTGCAATCCCTTTTTTTTGCCTCATGAAACCAGAAATATTTGCTGGCTCTATCTGGAAGTCTGCAAATTGGTCCCCCAAGTTTCACAACTGATAGATTGTGGTAGGAATATTTCAGGGTCCATTCTATTAACAAAAATTTTGTCTTGATTTTTAAGGCATAGTTCCAAGCACAATTAAACAGATGGTGGTGAGGAACTTATTCTTGACTTCAGTAATGTTGCCAATCATTGCCCACTCTCAAACCATTTGCTTTTGGGAAAGGGGGTCTGGAGGGGCTTTTTCATTTCGTTGGGAGTTTTGTTATTGCATATTTTGTGGTGTTGGTTTTGGGGTTTTTTTTAATAAAATTGCTTAAACAGTTCCCTCCTCAGTTGAGCTGAAAAATGGCCATGTGTAATCATTGCTTTGCATTGATATACTTCTGAGTAGGATTCTTTTTCCTTTAACAACTGGGTTTTTTTGGTGGGTTTTTGTTGTTGTTTTTTTTGGGGGGGGGAGGGGGTTGTGTTTTTTTTGTTTGGTTGGTTTGGTTTTTTGTTTGGTTTTTTCTTTTTTTTTTGGTAGCCTGCTTGTTCAGACCTAATATTTTAAACAGCTGAGATAATGAAAATACCAAGTCTTCCATTTCCCTCTC